CGGCCCTTCCCGCCCTGAGGGGAACGGGGAGGCGGCGCGGCGCGGCCCCGCCGCCCTCAGCCAGCCGCGGGGCTGGGGAACGCTGCCGTGCCTCAGGACGGGCCCGGCGGGGATGGCTCCCTCAGGGAGACGGGCCCGGGGGCTGCCGGCCGGCCCCCCCCAGCGCGATGGCGGCGGCGGGCGCTGGCCGAGCCGGTCCGTGAGCTCTGCTGCCCCCGGGCGGCACCGGGGCCGTCGCCGCCCCCCGGCCCCGGGTGTCCCGCTGGAAGCTGAACCGCTGCCGAGCCGTGAGGTGACGGGGCGGCCGCGGCCCGCGGAATGCCGGCGGCCTTGCGCGGCGGCTGCGGCCGCCTTCCTCGTACCCTGAGGGGGCAACGCGGGCGGCGGCTGCTCTCTTTTCCTCCTTTCTTCTCCCGCCCTGTTTTAACTCCCAGGGCTGAGTTTTAGCACGGTTCAGGCTCAACCGAGCGGTGTCTCTGACCTCGGGCAGAAACTGGCTTGGTTAATCGGGAATAAATAAACGACACCCCCCCCCCCCCCCAGGTGTTAGGGGAGAGAGCTCCTGAGCAGCCACGACACCCGCCGCACCGGAGCACCTTCAGCCTTGTGCCATTCCCATGTCCTCACCGTCTCGGGAGTCTGGTGGGACCCGGCTTTGCCACCGGCACAGGTAACGACGACTCCGAGAACCCACGCCAATTATCATTACAAATCCTTGTTCCGTGTTACAATTAATTTCTTTGCTTATGAGCAGGAACTTCCTGGCTTGCTCTAGGTAGTCAGCTACCGCTAGGGATTTAAGTCGTTTTTCCTGTGAAGGCAGAGTTAACAGTTTTAAGAAGTTTTAACCGTTTTATGGGTTGAAAGCGCTATTAACAAAGTCTAGTTTAAAATGCTGCCCTGCTCAGGTTTTACTTTGTATGACTGAGCGTGCGCACGCTACATCATGCAATGGAAAAAGCCACATTTCTCATAATTAAGAACCATAGTAGAAGTTACGGCCTGCTTTATAAATTATTGAGCTGTGGCTTCTTTGTTAATGCTCAGCTTTCTAGAACACGTACAACAACCTGTCCTTAAACAAAGCAATCCAGACTTTAACCTTGCAGATGTACAGCAGGATGCCATTTGCGGAGAAAGTCCACTGCTGGGAACAATATTCACGCCAAACTCAGATGTACACAGCTTAAAGTAGAAAGTCTGGAAAGTGTGAGGGGAAAATATCCTTTCCTCTCCTCCCCCCCCCCCTCCTTTCCAATTCTGACATTGAGTCATTGATTTGGAGCTACTGTGAGTTGAGCACGCATCTTCTGTGCCCCCCCTCTGCCATTTGGAAGATCTGTGTGCCATCATTTTGTACTGTGCTTGATATTTGTGCCTCACAGTTTTTCAGCGGGAATGTTCCCTGTTAGCTTGGTTGTGGGTTATTTCTGGATGGGGTCCATAACCAGCCTATGAGAGAAAGCATCAATTTATTAGTTCCATTTTCCAAACGAAGTACGAAGCACTCTACCGGCTTTTTTTTTCTTAAATGCATGTGTAAGCAACCTCTTTTTCCAATAAAAAGACTACTCATTTTGATAATGGGAGGACAGGTAAAGTTAGCAAATTGCGCAGGACTTTGCTCAAAGCTGTCATCATAATTGAACTGTCACAGGAGCATTACTCCCTCCTGTTGCTCCCTTGCCCAAATTTTGCAAAAGATTGCACAAATATCTATACTTTCATACTTTAAAAAAAAAACAAACAAAAACCCAGACCAAAACAAACACCCTATTAGCTCATGTTATTTCTGAATAAAGAACAGAAACCTCCTTTTTGTTAAAGGAATTCTAGACAGAAAATTCTATAGCCAGTGATACATTTTGATTAATGCTCCAAGAACAAACTACAGAATCATTTAGAAACAGTAGCTGGAGTTTCTTCCCCAAAAGTCTGTGAAAGCTACAGCGTAGGGACTCAAGCAGAGGTAGCATCCCTAGCAGGGAAACTCCTCAAACAGGAAATAATTGTAAAGACAGGCTGATCCTCAGGTGTTGCCACTGACTGAGAAGAGTGAAGGAAGCGTTACCAGGACTGGAGGGGATGTGCGACAAGCCTGCCCCTTAAAACTTCCACCAGCTTCAGTCAAACCCTTTTCCCATTTAAAATATCTTTTTCATACTGCCCAAGAATATTCACTTTAGGATCTTAGTAACTCTGCTGACATCTGACTTGGAAAGGACTCAAGCATTAAGTCTTTTGGAAGACAACAGCAAAACATCACGGTTACCAGCTAAAGTGAGGTGGTTACAGAGAACAAAACTTCGGCTCTAAACCCCTCCATTCACATCCTGTACCGTCCTGGGAATGCCAAACTCCATTGGTCAGCTCTTGATTTTCAAAATTTACTTTTAAGAAGCCCTTTCTGACACCTGAATGAAAGGCACCAGGTCTAATACACTATTACTACTTAAAGTTATCCTGCCATACTCAAGAATTGTTTTTCAATATTTGTCTAGCAGTGCTACATTGAAATTGGAAAGGTTTCAGGTAAACATCTTCATCAATGTTTGTATTTTTCATTACTCTTTATGCTGGTTTTGGCTGAGATAAGAGTTAATTTTCTTCACAGTAGCTGGTATGGGGCTATGTTTTGGATTTGTGCTGTAAACAGTGTTGAGGAGGAGGAGATATTTTTGTTATCGCTGAGCAGCGCTTACACAGAGTCAAGGCCTTTTCTGCTTCTCCCCCCACCCCACCAGCGAGGAGGCTGGGGGGGCACAAGGAGTTGGGAGGAGACACAGCCGGGACAGCTGACCTCAACTGACCAGAGGGATAGTCCAGACCATAGGACGTCATACTCAGCATATAAAGCTGGGGGAAGAAGGAAGGGGGGGGATGTTCGGAGTGATGGCATTTGTCTTCCCAAGTCACCATTACACACGGTGCAGCCCTGATTTCCTGGAGATGGCTGAACACCTGCATGCCCACGAGAAGTGGTGAATTCCTTGTTTTGCTTTGCTTGCATGCACAGCTTTTGCTTTCCCTGTTAAACTGTATTCATCTCAGCCCATGAGTTTTCTCGCTTTTACTCTTCCAGTTCTCCCCACAGCCCCACTGGGCAGGACTGGGCAAGCAGCTGCGTAGGGCTTAGTTGCAGGCTGGGGTTAAGCCACGACCCTCTTGAAATGTTATTTACACTCAATTATTCCCTAAAGGTGACTGATGATAGGCCACTGAATTTAAAATGACATCATTCAAAACACTGGCCTGCTAATCATCAATACAAGCCCATGCTGCAACATCACCCCACCATCGTGGCAAACGAGGAAATGCATAATGCACCGAAAAGGATGAAAACATTGCAGAGTCCTAGGCATAACAACCAACTTGCAGTAGTTCATTACAACTAAATTTAAGTTTGGGGGGGTTAGTGAGAAGCAAGACCTAACACAGCGTCCATTTAATCTCTGGTCATTCACCACAGTTGCTTCTATCAGACAACAGCGTACAGAAGTTACCTGGTGTGGAAATGAAGCAATCTTGTTTTAAGATGTACCAACATGTACATTTTAATGCTTTTTATTATTAATTGGCTACCTATCTGAAGAAAAAAGAAGCATTTTTCAGCAGTGGATTTCACTCTTGTATAAAATTAAAGGCTAGTCTGCCTTTAATTTTAGTAAATTTCAATTACTACAGAAAAATGCTTATGCAAACCCACCATCACTATTCATGAATGCATTTGATTTTCCTTAGAAAAGCACATTAGGCCTAAACTTAACCTAATCAACACTTCCTCCATTGCCATGACAAACTTCACTGATCTTTGATAAAGCTGCACAGAAATACCAGTTTATTTCTATAGGCAGCAATTTATCTGCCCCCAATGGCTAAACTGACAGCAAGGGAAATATTTTCTAGTGAAACAGTAATTTCCTGCTAGGCCACTGGAGATAATTCTACCCGCCCCAACCCACACAACCCCTCTACTACAGTAAACCCACACCTTTTTGCTGCGTGAGCTTAATCTAGCTTTGTGTCTTAACAGAGGTGGACCGTGTTTAGTTCTAATAGCTTGGTTCTAATTTATTTGCGATCCAATAACTACAAAGAGGGGTTTTTGTGTAACTTGTAACAGGCATGCAAAGACTACTATAGTTGATGTGCTGTTGTATTTTAAAACGTAGAAATCAAAATAATTTAAACATACTGCTTCCTCTAAAAACTTTCTGAAAAGGAGATATGGAACACATACAGAAGAAAATACCTTGAAGTTTTGTAAAAGCTCATTTTAAAAATGCTGCTGCTTAAATCCACAAATATTTTCAGTACTTAAAGAACTGAAACAATCTGAAAATGTATGATACATATGGCCAGGTAAGTGCACATACTGCCCTTCTTGTACTGCTGTAACAGAGAACAACAACAAAATAACTGTTAGTATAGGTTATAAAGAAAGATTTGCTTATGTTTCCAAGAGAAAGCACTCACTGCACAGTTGACTCACAGGTTTTATTTACACTTGTCTACAGAATCATTTTGCCTTACATTTTATCTAAGCCAAAAGAAACCATAATTTTCCTTTGTCTGTAGCCTATCATTTGCTAAATTTAAAAACTTTCATCTGTTAAGTACAGCAACAATTTTAATACAAAGCACAAGAAAAAACCCAAAGGCTAACAACATAGCATCTATTTGATCTGATCTTTACAATTTAGTAGTTGGACTTTGAAGTTGTCAGAGGCACAGTTACAAGACTAACCTGCTCTTGTGCAATCTACACACATTTAGCATTGAAATTAGATATAAAAGAAAGCATTAAAGAAGAAACTGCAGAGCATTTTTTTCTGCAAAGATTATCAAAATATTTCTACAACAAAAACATTTTGCTTATATACCAGTCCAAAAGAAGTGTCTT